GGCGGTATCTACCTTCAGCCCATACAAATCACCAGAACCAGATGGGGTCTATCCTTGTCAACTCCAACAAGGAAGTAACTACATAGCCCCTGTCCTCTCCAGACTATACAGAGCGTCGCTCCTACTGTGTCACATTCCCAGTAGATGGACAGAGGCTAAGGTCGTATTTTTATCGAAGGCAGGTAAACCGGAGCAAATACCTTCATCCTACAGACCAATTAGCCTCAGCTTCTTTCTCCTAAAAGGCATGGAGAAAATCTTGGATCAACACATCAGAGAAGTCAACCTAGGGGAACGACAAGTCCACTGGAACTGCCATTCACAGCCTTACATCGAAAATCGAAAAGGCTCTGGAGTCTAAGAACATAGCCCTTTGTGCCTTCATTGACATTTCAGGGACTTTTGACAACACGTCATACAGGGCAATAAGAGAAGCCCTGATAAGCAAGGGAGTGAGCCCCATCATAATAAATTGGGTGCTTTCTATGCTAAAAACAAGGAAGCTCAGGATGGAGCTGGGAGGTACGGAAGAATCTATTACAGCCACAAGAGGTTGCCCTCAAGGGGGTGTACTCTCTCCTCTTTTGTGGACTATGGTTATAGACGAACTCCTCTTCCTACTGAACGACCATGGCTTTGAAACACAAGGCTATGCAGACGATCTGGTAATTTGTGTAACAGGGCTGCATGGCGAAACGATCTCCAACAGCATGCAACAAGCCCTGCGCATTACGCAAAGATGGTGTGACGCCAAAGGATTATCCATTAAACCTACTAAATCTATTCTGGTTCCGTTTACCCGGAGGAAAAAGTTATCCATGACAGAATTTACTCTGGGCGGAACTAGAATAGGGCTCTCAAATGAAGCAAAATACCTGGGGGTGTGGCTGGATAAGACACTCACCTGGAATTTACATTTGGATGCAACCGTAAACAAGGCAATGAGAGCCTTCTTCGCACGCGACTTTACTGGAAGACATGGGGACTCTCCCCCAAAGTGATTTACTGGTCATTCAACACAGTTGTCAAGCCGATAATCACCTATGCATCCTTGGCATGGTGGACAAAAGCGACACAAAGAACTGCTAGCGCAAAACTTTGCAAACTGCACCGAATGGTGTGCATTGGTATAACAGGGGCTATGCGGACCTGTCCTGCTGATGCACTTAGTGCTCTTGTAGGCATACCGCCCTTCCCAATTCTAATATAGAGGGAGGCCAGTGTCTCGGCACTGAGAATCCTAAATACTTCCGAGTTAAAAACCGGAAACATGACAGGTCATATGAAGCTCCTTATGAAATTCACAAATGACCCCATAATGCATATGAGGGACTCAGTAGCTCCGATACTAGTAATTTCTAAGAATTTAAAGGTATCTATTGCGGACCGAGCATCCTGGAGCACAGGAAACCCCTACACCAAACACGGAACTGAAGTCTGGTACACTGACGGATCAAAACTTGAAGATGGTAAAACTGGAGCTGGTATATTTGGGCCGAATTTTAAAAGATCGATACCAGGTTTTTATTTCGGCGCGAACGCTTGTGTCTATATGCTCGTTCCCATTCAAAGGCTCGAAAAGATTGGAATATTTCTTTGACAGAATGTCTATTTTTTTTGTGAAATTCAGGAGGCCTTTCCTTTCCCAATGTAAAATTAACATTACAGGACGTGCGCGCCTTGAGCGGGATTTTGTAGTTCCCTACTTTTAGTAAGTTATCCTTCCTATCTATTACAGCACCCAACTCTCTTAGTGTGTCATCGCCGATGATTCCACTCAAACCACTTAGAGTTGGTAACACAAAGAATTCGAACCCACTTGAGTTGCCTATATTTACAAATAACTTTTCTTTTACTTTTTCCTTTATAGGAACGGAACCTCAAACAGATGCTACGTTTAAAGTTCGTTTTAACGACTAAGAAATCTAGCGCGCGACCATCGAGTAGCGTATATTCTAAGTATGGTACGCTAGATGACCGCAGGATAGAAAATCCTAGGAATTTTCGTCTTTTGTGGGTTCTTGGTCTTCGTCCTGCGCCTCACCTTCATCTGGGACGGTATGAAACAGTCTTTGCTGTTTCCGAGGTAAATTGTCAGAGCGGGCACCGCGTTTGAAGGGGTTTGGCCTGTTTATATAATTAACGTTACGCGTTTGTACCGAAGGATCTACCTCCGTCTTTTCCACGCGAGAACTCGAGGAGTTATTTTGGTTATCCTCTCTCCCGGAAGGGCGCTCGTTCTTCAAGTACTGAGAACGGTTTTCTTGTGAACGCCATGTAGGTTTCGGCGGTAATTGTGGGGGTTTCCTACTCTGCGGATAAAAGCTACTCGGCAAGTTATTTACCGGCACTACCACGCGATTATTAGAATTATTTGAAGAGTGTATCGCGAGTCCAGCGAAGGTCCCACTAACCCCCATCAAATAAAACACAGTGATTTGTGTATGAAGTTGAACATACCCACACACACACGCGGCTATCTAGAAGGCCGGAAACTTGTCGTACAGGGGAGAGCGGAAGGTAAAGAGAGAGATTCGGGAGTCGGTGTCGGAGATTATTCGACGGGTAATTGTACGGCGACGGGAGTGCTCCTAGTGACAGCAAGATTGGCAGTGGTACGCGTCACTCGTAGCGAAGAGCGTGATATTGAGAGCAATCGCGGTGGTTGTGACGGCGACGGCAATGGCTGCGACAGCAGCCTGCAGTTCCCTTGCAGTGGTGGTGGCGGCCTTAGCGGTGACGTTGGCAGTGGCCCATATGATGCTGAGGGCGGCAGCGACCTCCCGCAGTGGTGCTATATGCGGCCCTGACTGTGGCGAAGGGTGAATGCGTATTTAACTACGACGGTGACAGCAGTACCGTACTTGTGAAGGGTAGTAGCGGCGGCCTGGGGCGACGATAATGGCGGCGGCCCCCGTGATGAAGACAGTAGCAGCGGACCCTGATGGTGGCAACGGTGACAGCGGCCCTGGTTGGCGATAGTTAGCGTTCGCAGTCCTCGGTGATGATGGCGGGCGGCCCACGGTTGTAGCTTCGGCCTTGGGGCGGCAGTGGTAATAGCGGCCCCGGTGATGAGAGCAGCGGTGCGGGCCCTAGCGGTGATGATGATTATTGCGGCGGCCCTGGATGACAGTGAATACAAATATCCGTCCCCGGTAAAGCTTGCGGGCGGTCCTCGGTAGCGATCTCGGCCTTAGGGCGGCAGCGGTACTGGCGGTCCAGATTGGCGACCTGCGGGCAACTGATCATTAGTGCGGTCCCCAGGGCATCGAGAGGTTGCCCAGTCCCCCCGTATGTATTCGTGGCCGCTAGGCGCTGCAGGGAGGTGGTTCGCCCCCTTCAGCGCCCGCTAGCCGCGCGGTATCGCAAGCAGGCAGGGGTGCTCGGAATTGGGCCAGCCCAAACGGACCACGCTCCCTGTCTGCTTGAAACCGTATCCAAAAATGGGTCTAGCCCATAATGGTTTTGGAGTGTTGCCTGTGGGGTATTCCCCCCCATGCAGCCCCCTTCAACCAATCAGTCTTCCTCCGAGGAGGAAAGCCAAGAGCGCCCAAAATAGGCCCGAAGCCCAGGATGCGCTCCGTGCTTACCTACGGACAACTGATGCTGGTTGAGTGCATGCTGGCAGCTTTAGCTTTGGTTTTGTATGAGCTGTTTGAGAAGTGAGTGGGCTTATTCCGCGTTATGTGTTTTGTGTAGCGAATTTCTTCCATATGTTGGTGCGCATGATTAGCCAAGTTGGCGTTTGCGAAATTTGTATGTGCTTACCATTCCAGCTTCGTGTATGCGTATGTATGTATGTATGTATGTATGTACATAGGGGGGTTGGTATGGGAGTTTGTGTGTGCGTCTACCAGTGTGTATGTACGTATGTTTATATATTTGTACTTAAGTGCAATTGTAAGGCGTACGCTAGGGTGATGTCGAGTATGTTATTTTAGCGTAGGCGAAGCTACGTTACAGAGTATTACCTCCACCGAATGAACCCAGGACACATCAAATACTTGTAGTTCCTTGACACAGTCAGGAAGCTTACAAATATCGCGTATTTCTGCTTCAGTCGTGGAGGCTTGAGCCACTACCTCCTCTGGTTGTTCTACTGGGCCACTAGTTCCTAGTGTGGTAGCCCTGGAGCTAGCGTTTATACGCGCCACGCCCCTTTCTAGAATGTTAATCTTCTCCAGAAGGGCGTTGACAGCCCCAGTTAAATTCGTGACAGTGGTCCTCAAGTCCTCCATCCTAGAAATAGCAAAAAGATAAATTCGTGGTAATATACTTACAATACACGGAGAATTGGCATTCGGTAGTCAGTCTGATCCCTTGATTAAGTTATTCCTTAAATTCTTTAATTGGTCTATATCCTTTAATTTATAACTTTATTAGTCCTTTTTTGCGTATATGTTTATTCTTTTAAAATTGTTTATTGTTCTTTGGAGGTTTACACTTTTATTTTTATAACTTGTCCACTCTTTCCACACTTCTGGGTCCCTGCTCGGGCGCCAGTTACGGACGTTCAGTCCGCATAAGTCAAAAAAATTAATTGGGCCAGCCGCCCAAAAGGAAACACAGACTTGTTAAAAATTCACTTAGGTTTTATTAACACTTAACTTCTTACGACTAAGCCTAACACTAAACGTAGTGTATGATAAGCCGTCCCGAACTCGACTGACTGCACGTTGTGGCCGTTGCTTGCTTTCCACCTTCGGTCTCTGGCAGCGACGCAATGGTTGCGTAACATGTTTACAACCCATTGTCTGAGACTGGATTTGGCCTTGATTCCCACGGGTGCATTATGGAATGCAGGTGCCAATGTCTCCCGTTACTCCATATGGTGAAATTAAAATATGCTGCGTGTAACGGCCAACCGTGGGAGCGTCGCAACAAATGCGACTGGTGCGTGTTAACTTATATATTATGCATTTTTTTAAATTTGAATTTTATGAGCTGTTAGACACATGTACTAATATATACTTATGGTTAAATTATTTATATATATATGTATGTATATACGCTTATTTGCATTGTAGTTTATATACGTATATACCCATGTACATATGCACATACAAATATTGATTTATTACGTTGCATAAAGCACAAACAATTGTTATGAGGATAACTGTATGCGGATGGACAAAATGGTATAATAGGAGCAGTGCTAACAAGCATTGCTCATTAGCTAGGCATACGTGGCACGCGTCGCAATGTGGGTCACACGAGTAGTGGAAGAGGGATCAAACCTCCACGTCAGCTGCGCAATTAGCGATACGAAATCAGCTGCTGAATTACCTACAGTGATGAAAAAGTTGGTACAATCGTACCTTGATTTAGTTTGATAGTACATTCGGTACAAACACACACAGCCCTAACACTGAATCCATCGTAGAAAAGTTACGAATTCGAATGTCCGCTACGAATACGAAAGAATTGCTATTACTGAATCCATGTGAACTCGAAAAAAGTGCTGCCAAACTCAAATGTAAATTTTCGGCCATTCGAAATCAGCTGTTGTGAAGTAAACAAAGCGTTTGAGCAAAATTATCATGCTGTAAAACTTCTTAAACTAATATTTTGTTAAAATGGATACCGTAGCTTGTGCGATCGTCTTAATAGAAGAAAATTATCAAAGTAATAACTTAAAAATTCAAAGGAAAACTCTAAGAGATGCGAGTAATCCACTTGATTTAGACGAGGCTATGTAAGTAAAACAAAAATTTTTATTTCAAATGATTTGATACGTTTTTTTTTTCTTTTATGTGCTCGGTGAGTTAGAGGCGGGAAGCGCAATTCATGCCAGGTCAACATCAATGAATCAAATCACACGCCTGGCATCTGTGCTACGCTTTCTTTCGGAAGGCAGCTATCAACACGGCGTTGGAAAAGATTTTGATGCACCAATGGCTCAATCAACGTTTTCCGGTATTTTAAAATCCACACTAGCAGTCCTGCAAGCACGTTTATGTCCTCATTGGGTAAATCTGAATATGACAGACGAAGAAAAACAAAAAGCCAAAAGGCATTTTTATACCAAGTATAGGCTTCCGGGCGTTATTTTGTGTGTGGATGGAACGCATATAAAAATCGTTTCACCAAAGGAGGACATATTTCTTTTTTATAATCGGAAAGGTTTCTTCAGCATCAATGCCATGATTGTAAGTATATGCTTGCAGAAACCAAAACTGAAAATTTGTATACATTTTTATTTTATTTTTAAAGATTTGTGACAATGAAATGCGAATCAGGTACGTCAATGCAGAATTCCCAGGATGTAATCACGATTCTCACATATGGAATGTGAGTAATGCAAGGTCCTTTTGTGAGAGGAAATATTTAGAAGGCGAGAGGAATTGCTTATTATTAGGTACATACAAATTTACTATGGATGCACGCATATGATTGTATGATATTTATGATATTTTTCATAGGTGACGCCGGATATGCATTGGAGCCATGGTTAATGACTCCGTTTCGTTCACCACAATTAGGTAGCCCAGAGAGTGTATACAACAAAGCAAACTCAAAAGCAAGGAATATAGTGGAAAGAACTATTGGAGTTTTGAAAAGTCGTTTCAGATGTCTTTTCGGAGCTCGTGAACTCCACTACGAACCCTCAAAAGTAAGCCAAATCGTGAACGTGGCAGCGGCTTTACACAACATTTGCTTGCACTACCGCGTTATAGATGATGTACCAGAATATGTTCCAGAACCATTATCCCTCAGCGAAGCCCATGAAACAGCAGCCACTAGCACTAATGAAGCCGCATCACAGATTAGGCAATCCATTTTGATGACACTTTTATAATAAATACTGATATTTATCTAATTAGCAAAATAAACAAAACTATTTGAAATTCATTTTATTTCTTTATTTAGTTATTTTATTCACACTTAGTTTTTTTATTTTTATCTAACAAATCTAATTTTCTTAGCTCTATTTCTAACATTTCTTGCTTTATTTTTTTCAGCAACCAAGATTGAATACGCAAGGTTATGTCGTCGCATTTCAGCAAGTTCAGACTTTTTTAGTTCGTACGTCTTATCTGTTAGTCGACACAATCGGCGGACACTTGATGCAATATCCTCCAACTTCTCTTCCTGACGTTTAAAATGCTCTTTGCTTTCTCCATAAAATTCATTTTGCATCTGTACTTGCTCTCTCAGTACGCTTAATGTTTCCGAGTCCGTTCGTTTTTGTGGAGTGGAAGTACGTCGTGGCAGTGATGAACCACAAGCTTCCGACACCATGGACACATCAGCATCGGTTTCGGGGCCTTTTTCCTGAGGATCTTCAGGTAGTCCGACACTAACTGTGTTTTTGCAGCCTGAGGTGCAGACTTCTAACTCTGCTAGATTTATCACTCCCTCCTCCAAATCTGTAAAACTATGCTGCCGATGTCTTCCGCCCCCCATAGCTGTCTGCTCCCTTTTATTTTCCATGAGCTTGCGTTTGACAGCACTTCCAATCACACCACACCTAAAATATTTAGAGTGTTTAAAAACTTTGTGAACTTGTACATACTACCCTGCCCACCTTTAGTTGAAATATTTCTGCTTCAAGATTGTGTGAACTAAAGGTGTGAAGTGTATGGACTAAAATGCCTTACTTTTTTCCACGTAGACACATCTTTTATAAGCGGCCCAATACTATTCAGTTCTTTTGCAACGTTTTCCCAAAATGCAGTCACTTCCTCCTTTGAGTACCTAGTAAACCCTTGTGCTATATCTGGTTTCTCATTCAACATTTCCAGCAAACAGGAATACTGTTGTCGCGTCGTCACAATTTTAGACCTGTGAAAAATTATTTAAAATTTTTTTTTTACTAAATTTGTTAATTTTATCAAATTTACTTACATTGTATTGGTTCGATATGCTTTTTCTTTTATTTTCGCTTATTTCAATTTTCTCCCGCCAACTAAAACTCGTCGTAGAAAATTTGTTCGATTTGACATTTCGAGTGGGTTCATTGAAAGCAGTCTACGAATTTCGAAATTAGAATACGTAGACTCTACGAAAGTCATGCCTACGATGGATTCAGTGAACGCAATTTCATAGATTCTACGAAAATCGAACTTACGATGGATTCAGTGATAGGGCTGGTAATTTTAGATATATTTGGAATGTAGCCAAATAACTTCTCAGGAAATAAGTTCTTATTTTTATTGACATTTCAACGCATTTTCTGGTGCGGGCAGCTAGTCTAATAGCTTTCCTCCTTTGTGAAGGGGCATACAAAGATACAGAAGGGTGGTCAAAGTAACGCATCTGTAGTTGATTTCGCCAGATAGACGGAAAATATTTCTTTTTAAAACGTCAGATCGAAGAACTGAGAGGAAAGTGATTTACCTATCTACAACATAGCTTTGTCTCGCGCTGCTCGAAGAGATTCTTTTCATAGCCAAAATTTGTTTAATTTGATTACAGAAGTTGATATGGTATCGATTAGAATTGTTATCCTCCTATTTTCTTTACGTAGAAATACCTATTTACTTTTTAGGTGCATCTATCTACTTTTAGGTAAAGTTTTCCGTAGATTAGGTACAATTTTATAATTCAATTTTCTATCCCTGATGGAATATCAGCTGTAAAAGAGAACCAGAAACAGACAGCTGATTGCTCTTTGTTTAATAAACATACCTCCAAGTCAAAATGAAACATATCTAGCAGGGTTGCATAGAGAATCTGACACAAATTAATTGCCAATTAATTATTAACTGGCAATTAATAATTTGAATTTTTGTATGATAAATTGGGTAACAATTAAAGCTTAAATTGGTGAAGACGTTCTTAATTGCCAATTAGACGCCTGTTTGAACATAGTCTTAGTACGTTTATGCGGCAGAATTCATGAATTCTTCATTTCATGTATTCAGAAATGGTTCCGTTTATGCATAGTTCGCGAATTCATGAAATGAAGTGTTTTGAAAAAGTGGCGGTGCACCAGCGAGAAACTAAGCGGTGGGGTTGTAGTTTTTGTTTCCTTTTTTTAATTTGCAACAGCCGTTGGTACCAGGAAATGGTCCATATTATATTTAAATTGGTTTTTCTGTATTTGAATTTCTTCTATTTAAATTTACTTATATTTCAACAAATCCACGTAAATTTTCCAGTGTTTTAAATCGTGGTTATGTTACTCATACTTCTTAATCTAAACAAATAATAACCCTAGTAAACAGCTGTTTGTGAAACGTGGCGTTGCCGGACTGGCACTTCAAGATTTCATGAAATCATGCGAAATCCATGGTTAGTTTTCGTGTATAATTGAATTCATCAAATTGTGTTTATGCGACCAATTTTAACCCAAATTCATGAAATTTGCGTACGCATAAACGTAGTATCTGATGAACATACGTGAGGATGATATCAAGGCCAACTCATATGAGGTAGTTTTACAGGGGAAGTTGAAATTTTCGCTCCGGTGTCCGGCGACCGTTGGTTAAACTTGGTGATGTTTTGCTGTGGATTGCATCGCTTGTGGGCCTGTTGAATGAATTTGTGTCTTGGTTATATGAAAGATCAAAAAATTTTGATTTTCTGGCAAGTTCTCGCTGTAAGTTAGCGTATTGCACAGCTGCAAAGCTAAAACAGCGGTTTGATGATTCCTTACAATCCCTCCCACGCCTACATAGCTTCTTGGATATTTGTAAACAGACAACAGCTGCCAAGCTGATCGACAATTCTTCAGAATCACTCCCACGCTTGTCTTGCCATTCAGTTACATTCCAAAACGGACACCTGATAGCGTACGAGACTTTGGGCAGTTTTCGGCAGGGCAGCCGGCAATGCATTCATACCAACACACAAACAGAGCTACCGGCGCATCGATACTAAGTCAGCGAGCTCGGGCAGCGCATCTACACCAATATACACACATCGACGAATCAGCGAGTAGCTACAAACCGCAAGTAGGGAACTAGGGTAGATTGTAAGTGAATAAAGTTTAGTTCTGGATTAACATCAGGAGAATAAAGTTGTAATTTGCAAGGAGAACCTGCTTTAATACTATACTACAACGCAAATACTACTGTAAGTAATTGTTCGATTTTTCGTGTGATCCAGTGAAATAAGTGCAAAAAAGAAAACAAACAAAAAAAAAGTAATTTATTTTTATTGTGAGTTTTTCTTAATTAATATCAAAATGAGTGTAACAAGAGAGCAGGTAATTGAGATTCTGAGACAACAACATGAACAAAATAGAAGACAATTTAATGCGCATTTAGATGAAGTTATGCAAACACTTCGGCGCTTAGAGCAGCCATCTGCAGAGAATTATCTTCCAGTAAAAATAGATCCAGCTGTGGTTAACAGCAACACAAATATGGATCTAATAAAATCCTTGCAAGAATTTAAGGGTGATACCGCATCCTATCCGGCTTGGCGTTCCGCAGCGGAATTCGCCATCGGCTACTACACGGAGGGTTCGGAGCAATATTATATTGCAATGGGAATTTTTCGAAACAAGATAGTAGGCTTAGCGAACACAACGCTCGGTTCCTTTTCAACTGTGTTGAATTTTAAAGCTATAATAGCTAGGTTAGATAAAACATACGCGGATAAAAGGCCGTCACATGTTTTGGAAACAGAACTCAGTGCTTTAAGGCAGGGAAATTTGTCACTCTTGCAATATTATCACACGGTGCACAAACAATTAACACTCATAAAGAATAAAACACAATGACTCACTCCAACAACAGGGAGCTTGCTGCCGCGCTCAATGATAGAGCTAGGGAAAATGTATTAAGGGTCTTTATTTCCGGCCTAAAGCGGCCTTTATGCGATATTCTATTTTCGGCCAATCGAAAAGATTTGCCTTCCGCGCTGGCTACTGCCCAGGAGTTAGAAAATAACCGTATGCGTTATGATTTTGCTAGAATATTTGCAAGCAGTAACAGTTAACAGCGTCACGAATTCAGATAGCCCAAAATATCAGAACAATTATTCAAGCACTCCCCAAACGCCTAATGACACTCCTACTCCAATGGAGGTAGACCGCGGATCCTCTGCATTCCGACGTACAAAACAGTCCGACCAGGGTTATAAGAAGGACAATGCATTGGGAGGGCATCCCAAAAGAGATGCTAATCAATACGCGAATAAACGGGATCGCGAACAAGGGTATTCAGTAAATTCACGAAACCCAAAGGTGCAACCGACGAATCATTTGAAGACATCCCAAGAGGTAGATCCATCAGAAAAAGTTACTGTGGATCGTGACAGTGATTCAGATATCGAGATCGTTTCTAATTTTGCGATGGAAGATGAAATGAATTTTTTAGCGTAAGGTTGCTCCTACCCTGCATTACCAAGAACACGTCGGAGGGGCGGGAGCTTAGACTGTTAATTGATATATCACTATATCAAAAATTTGAGTTTCTTAAATGGAATTACCTCTGTGGAGAGACAGTTTAAGGTCGAGTCAATAAATGGGTGTAATCTCATAGAAAAAAATGCAAGGTTATCCTTTTGGGAAAAGCATCAATTTTCTTTATTCTTACAAATTTAAAAAGCTTCGATGGTATGTTATCCATGTTGTGAATAAAAAAGGCCTAGATCAATACGGTTAACAAAAGCTCCGCATGGTCATCGAATTTCGAAAATTAAACGAAAAAACGATTGCGGATAGATATCCTATACCAGATATTTCTACCATACTAGCAAATCTGGGTAGTTCCAAATTTTTTACCACTTTAGATCTAAAATCTGGCTTCTACCAGATAATCCTTGAAGAGAAGGACCGCGAAAAAATAGTCTTCAGCATAAACAATGGAAAATATGAGTTTAATAGGTTGCCGTTCGGTTTAAAGAATGCACCCAGTATTTTCCAACGGGCCATTGATGATGTCCTGATAGACGACATTGGCCAAAGTTGCCAAGTTTATATGGATGATATAATCATATTTTCAAGGGACAAAAGTCCCATCCTCAATATGTTGAAAGGGTATTAAGGACGTTGGAAAAAGCTGGAATGCGAGTTTCAGCAGAAAAAACTAAATTATTTAAGAAGCAAGTTGAATTTCTCGGTTTTATTGTCTCCCAAAAAGGGATAAAAACATGTCCAAATAAGATTAAGGACATAATTGACTATAAGATGCCGGAAACACTTCGAGGATTGCGCTCTTTCTTGGGTCTTTCAGGATACTATAGGAGGTTTAAACGGGATTATACCCCTATCGTCAAATCATTAACAAAGTAGCTTCAGGGGAAAATAGCCATGTGTTGTCACACAAGTCCAAACATCTTAAAATAGTCCTCGACGACGAGGTTATTCAAGCGTTTGAAAGTGTAAAAAGCATCTTGGCATCGGAAGATGTTTTGCTGTTTTATCCGGATTATGACAAAACATTCGAACTGACAACAGACGCATCCTCTAGCGCTTTAGGCGCGGCCCTATCTCAGAATGGGCGGCCCATTACAATGATTTCGCGAACACTATCAAAAACAGAGGAAAATCATGCAACCAACGAGCGTGAGCTTTTGGCTATATTGTGGGCCCTTAAAAACCTTCGAAACTACTTATACGGTATTAAGGACATCGTAATATTCACAGACCACCAGCATTTAACGTTCGCCATTTCGAACAAAAATCCAAATACAAAAATGAAGCGATGGCGAGCGTTCATAGAGAAATTTTCGCCGAAATTT